GAAAGAGTGGATTGCAAAAATTCTATAGAGGTGGAACGTACCAATTTAGTGAATGGACTGAAAAAAATGGAAAAAAATCACTAGACTTTTTTTATCTCATTTCCATTCGTCCTGTATGCCAGAGTCGAAAAAGAAAAACGGATAAAACTATATATATATATAGTCAGCAGAAACTCAGTTTCTTCGATATGCTTTCCCGAGAAAATTATACGGACCAAGCCAGCCAACCGAAACTCGTGTCGCATGAAAGCACGGGTAAAAGTTTCAATGTCTTTAGGAAAAAAAATTAATTTTTTGTTGCCCTTTGATCTTTCGGCTAGCGAATCGAATCAGTCGCCTTGGTGAAAAAGGTTTTCTTCTAATTAGTCGAGAATTTTTCCATCTCCGTGTGGAATTACCCTCGTCCTTCTCTTTCCCATTCCCGATCCTTCCTCGTATCCACAATCCTTTAGCTCTCCTACCTCAATTTCACCATACAACAAGGGACCGGCGAAGTCATTCTAGAATCAAGCAAAGTACAGTCCGTCGTAAAAAAAATGTATTCTTCCGTATTTACCAAAAGTTCCTATCCACGCGTTTACGTACGTTTGCAACTGGCGGCAGCACCGTACAGTCGGATCCTCCATTAGATTGATTGCCGGGCGATTCACCATCCCTGATATTTACCACTTGGACTGATTAAGCAGCTGCAACCAATAGCTCGTATTTCTAGACTGTAGTGCCTATACGTTGCTGCCTCCTCGTGTCAGACTGTCTATTATAAAGGACCATACGATAGTACACGTTATATGGTACATGCACTTAGGTATCTAGGTATACATATATATGCATATCTTCCTACCCCTAAGAGACACGTATGTATATGGAAGGAGATGCAAATGAAGCTACGGGTAAAAAAAAACGGATATTTGTCCTTTGATATTTGTCCTTTCTCCAAAGGGTTCTGAGACTTGGGGGCTCATTAGGGTAATGGTTTACCAGTATCGTGATACACTCCTGTCTGACGTATAACGTCCGTCTCTACTTCGTAAGTCAAGACGAGAGGCTGTTGCTCTCTTTCATTTTTCTCTTTAGGTATATTATATATATGTACATATCTCTTTGACTTCCTACTTCCTGACCGATTCCCATAAAATCTTTAAAGCGACTGTACGGTGACTAAAGCGATTTCTCTCTTTGCCCAGAGAGTCTGGCGAAGAATGATCTTCTCCACTGGTATTCAAGATATCGGAGGCCTCCGTCCTGCCTATATCGTCCTTAACGTTCGTTCAAGCAAAGAGGCCTGCGCTCGGCGTCCGATCCGCGAATTAATAAAACTCGAGGAAAACTCGTAGAGGGTAATGGAGCCTCTCTGAGGCTGGCAATGGGTATTTTTTATGAATCTCAAACTAGTCTCCGTATATATACGAAAACTTGACGTGACCGAATAACAAATAGAGAGACCATTTTTGACAATCGATCAACGATATGATATCTGGAATAAATTTGTTTTATCGCGTAGAACCTTCGATATGGCTTATCTCAGTGTAATAAAGAGATTTGTTTATACGTGACTGTTTTTTGGAGTTTCTCGCTGGTGGGTCAGGTTGGGTTCCTTATAGATAATAATTATCGATTCAATCGACGAAGTTTCGTTATTCATTGGGTGGATCCGCTCGAGTTTACATTCCGGTGACTCGAACGATAATGGCTGCCATCCTCTGGACAAATAATATTCCGGCTCGGTTTCTAACGATCTAATTTACTGGGACAATTCGCCCGGCGACGGCAATCCTATCTCCGCTTGCACGACTGCGGTCGCTTCGCGTCTTGTCGATTATCGCTTGTCGTCCATCGTCTTTGTGAATTCACCTTACTCTTGCTTTATCATTATATACGTGCATATATATATATATATATATATATATATATATATACATATATCCTGCTATTACGTTTATTCTGTTGTACCATTTTATTATTTTTTTCATTTTACCTGCTTATGTCACTCTTTAACAAAATTTTCACAAGTTCTCTCGTTATTATATACGAGATTATTTCAGTCGCGTTAGACAATTAAATGTCATATACACTTTTATATATATATATATTTAATCCAGCTGATTCTACTGAGAAATTCTAAGTCTGACGAAAGTATCGCTACCTACACTCGATTCAACCAGAGATACAGTAACCAATTCCAAGTCACTCCTCGGTCTGACCCAGTAGGTACGTATCTACTCGACTAGCTGGCTTCTCCTACTCTACTTCGAGTCAGCCGAGTTCCTTGAGGAGGTTTGGCTTGTGGTACAGGAGGGGGAGTCTGAGTAACGAAATTTCTTTTAGGGTCCTTAACAAAGTTTTCTCTGGGTGCTGAAAAGCTTTTCGTATAATTTTTCATCGAGTAGAAAATCTTCGGGTCCTGCCGAATTCATTCCGATGCTTCCTCCTTTCTGCCATCCTATATATTGTCTCTCTCTCTCTCTCTCTCTCACTATATATATATATACGGTAAATGCTGTTCTTGCCCGACATTCTGTTCTGATTTACTTCGGTCCCGAATCTCGCTTGGGTCTCGATTTAATTTATACGGCTACTTTGGCAGTTCGTTCACGTAGACGACGTATAAATTAGACTCGGATCAATTTCCGAACGCCTTGGGAGTGTATTTCAATTTTTTTTTTTTTTTACGGTTGCCACTCCCACCGATCGGTATACACCCTTAAGTTTATTCGTATACCGTGAAAATCCCATTCGCCACCCCCACTCTCACTCTTGCTCCACAAAGGACCCTTAGAGCCCAGAATGTAATTGCGTGAAATTGTACTCCCCGTATACGGTGCACGATACGTACACGTGGCTGTATATACGTATATACGCGCCGAAAAAAAAAATTAATTAGCTGACTTAATTGTTTCCTCCTATTAATTCCTTTATTGCAATTACGTAACATTGCTCTTTCCGTTGCTAATGGTTACCCGTTTGCGCGCTACAATTTGAATTTCACATTTTTCCCTTTTTTTTTTCCCGCCATTAAACCAACCTTGCGCGGGTCCTTTGTTCTTGCTCGTGAAAATTCGTCCCGTGACGCGTTACGTAACGCGCCACCCCTGTTTCAAACAAATTTTTCGTTTCTCCCCGGGCCGAGAGTTTCTCTTGCGCTAAGATCTCGAGTAATTACGATCGGCATGTAATTGCTCGTTGCTCTAATTAGATAGCTCAGTCATCCCCCCCTACGATGCCTGCGACCCGTGGCTTCCGGTGCAGAGAGTCTTCAGGAAGACTTATTTTAATTCGGTAAACATTTATCACCCCCCCTCCCTCCCTCCCTCTGAAAACAAAGGGCGGTTTAATTGGTGGCTTTAAATCTTGTTGGCTGGAAACGATCGGTGAAATTTTTGGAAAAAAACGTAAAAATTTGGTTTTCCCTTTTAATTTCTTTTACACCACGCTTCCCTTCTTTTCCTCGGCACCTGTGGCACTTTACTTCGTTATACTTCGGCCAGGGCCGTATCTTGCTGCTGTTACCCATCCTCTTGTCTGTAATCG